TCTCATAACTTTTGAACCACACATTTCAAAAACTTTTATTAAGATCTACTAAAAATCCAATTTTAATCCCTACCAAACAGGGGTTGAGCCATTTAATAAATAGGTAATACAAGAATATAAAATTTCTGAAAAAGATACTCAAGCCAAATAAATTAACTAAACATTTACGAGAACATGTTGCATGCTTCCATCATGGAATAGCTACTTTTCATGCATGAAAGAGTTCAATAGGCAACCTAAAATCCATCTCAAATAGAATTACACGCTTAACCACAAGAAAATTATCAAGTCCAAATTTTTTGATTAGAAGGATTAACCTAGCATGGTAAGACGATGAAGGGCAGTAATTGTAGTTGTTATGTGCTTCTTCGCAAAATCCAGTTTCTTAATGTCACGGCATATTTCCTGAACCATTGTCTCACTTTGTTCTGCTTTGGTTTTAATTTCTCGAATTTTATACATGAGTTCCTGGTTCAGAGCATAGAGACGAATTAATGATGAAACCATGAGGCAATGTGGAACTATGTCCAAATCAAAATTACAGAAGACTGAACCTGCAGGACGAAAAAGGTTGCTTATGTTTAGAGTAACCTGATTTCAGCAGTGAATCAAAGTTATAAAACTTATGTAATTAACAAACCTGCACAGCACTGGTAGCTGCAGCAAGATCCTCCCTAGCTTTGGTTCCTGAATTACTCTGCAAATTATGGCATTTGAGAATTCAAACTGTTCATTTCAAAAGGAAATGTTCGGAAATGTAGTTTAGAACAAAAGATATGCTCTTTCATTAGCAAGAGTTGATTCATTTGGCCAAGAGAGTGACTGCACCCATCAACATTAAGTAATCATATATTGTTGCCAAAAGACTCTACTTGACCAATCATCCTACACAACCACAAATTTCAGCATGCATACACTCAGTGAATACTCTCATATCCAATCTGCCTCTATTATTGCTTCTTCCTTTTCAGTAGGGAAGGAAGAACCAGTGAAGTTTTTTATTTATACGCGGGAGCCGCCATCTTAGCCTCCAAGTAAATGATATTATATCATCAGAAACAGAAAAAAATGCCAACCTGTTGTCGAACAGCTGCTAAAATCTCAGCATCTACTCGACGAATTTCACTATGTATTTTCTGCATAAGTGGCTCGACACCAGATAAAGATGCCTCTGCACATTAATCAGTCACCAGATTCTCAATAAAATCAGAAAAATTGCATATATTAGATAAAAAA